GGAGCGGCACGGCCTCTCCACTGCCCTGGGGCTCCTGCCCAGCCAAGCCCTGTTGCCCCGCTCCGCCACCGCCAGCTTCTCTGTCAGCTTCCTCAGCTCCACAATCTTGCTCACTCGCCCCTTTGCCGGTTCTGCTTCGCTCTCCAGCCCCGCTCGGGGCAGCTCCTCGCCCCCTGACACTGCTTCGGAGCCAGGGGAGTGACCGAAAGCCTCAGTGGGTTCTGCTGCCAGCTTCTCCATCAGCTTCGCCTTCTCACTCTTCAGCTTGCAGATCTGTGTCTCCAGGAGGGGGATGGTTTTCACCTGCTCCTCCAGGTCTCGGAGCTGCCGCAGGGCTGCGGCCATCTGCTCCCGCACGAGCTGCAGTGGGGCAGCACTGAGCCCCGCCGCTGGCGTGCTGCGTCCCGAGCTACCAGGGCTCGCCTGTCCCCAGCCCGCTTGGACCTCGGCGCCCACCGGCACCCAGGGGTGTGGTTGACTTGGGGCACCCAGTGGGCCACCACGGGACAGACCACCAATATCCTGCAAATGGCCCTGCTCCTCCTCCAGCCTCCTGCTTGTCTCCAGCAAGGTCTTCTCCACCCGCAGGTTTCGCACAAGGCACTTGCGGGTGGGAGGTGGGAGCAGCCGCAACGGCGGCGGTAGACAGGGTGGGAGGTTGGCTTGCTCGGGGGCTCGAGGGGTCCCCGGCCATGTGGGGACAGCAGCAGCGCGGTCCTGCCCTCCTCGCTGGCTGTGGAGGTGAGGGACTCTGTGGAGGTCCAGGCACTGGTATGGCTGCTGGGGCTGCGCAGGGCACTGAGGGGCTGCCGGGCCCCTTTCACCCTGCGAGGCAGCGGGACTTTCTTGAGCGTTTGGCCGCTTTCAATGTCATCGACGTATTTCAGGAAATCCAGGTCCAGGAGGAAGCCGTAGGGGGTTTCCACTGAATACGAGCTCTTCTCCCCATCGTCCTGGTCCCGGTACAAGAACGGGCCCCCAAGATCTGCAAGAGGAGCAGGGACAGTTAGTCAGGGACCTGGTGGAGACAGGAAGGCTGTTCCAACTGGGTTATACTGGGATTTGCAGCCTGTGGCCCCATTGTGATTCTGCTGGTGGTGGGCCCAGCAGATGGCTTGTCCCCAGCACCCTCGGTGCTGCCGAGTGTCACAGGGCACCCACTCTGTGCCGGGATTGGTGCTGGAGTGAGGAAATCCATCAGGACGGGGCACAACAGCGCAGCCCTGCCACCCCCCTCACGGTCCTTCCGCTGTCCCTGTCTGGTGACAACCCTGGTCCCTTTACCTGGGAGATTCTGGTTCAGGGGCGCAGGCTGAGCCATCTTCTCCCCAGGATGCTGCTGACCGGGGGACCATCAACCTGCAACAACAATGGGGCCACGTCTGGTGAAACCCTGCAAATGGGGGGCCAGTGAGCCCCACGCGGCCACAAACCACTGCCCCCAGCCCAGGGGACCCCCTGTGGCCATCCCCCCGCCATCTGCCGGGCTCCCCTCGCCTGCCCCAGCCCCAGTGCCATGAGGCTGAAGCCGGAGGTGGCTGTGGGCGAGTGAGCGCAGTGCTGCCTGCGGGGCCAGGGATGGTTTGTACATTTAAGGAATGCTTCGCAGCCCGGGCTGGGGGGGCTGTGGCGGTCGCACTGCCAGCTCTGAGGGTGCAGAGTCATGAGTCAGAGCTCGGCCCCACTGGAAAAAAAAAAAAAAAAAAAAAAAAAAAAAAAGAGGCTGCAGCCCTTACGGGTGCAATTCTCGGTGGAGAAGTTTGCTTTGGATAAAGGGAATCGATGCTTTTTCAAAGCCACGTGACCGCACGCAGCTGCCAGCACCCGTCGGTCGCTGGGTGTGATGTCCCTCCTCACTGCCCAGGCTGAGCAGGACTGGGGTGCCCTGCACTGCCCACCCCTGCCTCAGGGTGTCTCGAGGGCCGGTGACCCCCAGGAGGGACCAGGCTGTTTTTCCCTGTCGATAATGCAGAATAACGCATGGCAGGAGGCGGGGGGATATGGGTTTCCCCAGGAGCCTGGCACGGGCACGCTGGAGGAGAGCCAGCGCGATGCGGCTGCGATCCAGGGGTGAGTTCATGTGCACATTCAGCTGGGCCCTGCCACAACATCTGGGTGCCAGGACCCAGGTGGGAGAGGGATAGGGGCAAACAGCACCCCGGGAGCACCCACTGCCTCTGCGCATGGCGTCACCCTCCAGAGACCCGTGGGGTCCCTTGTGTGGCGGGGACACAGTGGCCCTGCCCACAGGTGCAGGTGGCTGTGGGGCTCTGCAGCTGTCGGTGGGCAAAACATTTGGCACCGGGCTATTTTCAGAAGAAAGCAGGGAGGAGGCGTCTCACAGAGGAAAGGCAGCCCAGACACAGCCCTAAGGGAAGCCAGGTCTCAGTGCTGCCCAGAGAAGGACGCAGGATGAGAAAAACACCCGCATCCATCCCGAGATCCCCTGCCCGCGACAACTGAAGGATCCAGACTTTTCCAGCAGAGTGGCCGCCCCCATCACATGGCCCAGCTTGGGGACGATGCACTGGCCCCTGGCTCGCACCCATTAACCGCAGCAATGCCACCTGCTGCTCCCCAGCCCCAGCCGTGCCGCTGCAGTTGCCAGCTGGTGGCTTGTCCTGACCAGGCGATTACCAGAAGCCGTCAGAGCAGCCATGGCGCAGGCAGCACCGGGCCATGCTCAGGCTGGGCACCCAGGCGACGTGGCAGCCTCCCACCGCCAGCCCCAGAGCACGGCATTGAGGGGTTGAGTCCAACCGGGCAGGGATGAGACCCTTCCTGTCAGTCACCGGGCTGGATCCTGGGGCTCTCCCACTCCTCTACCAACCCATCCACAGCTGAGGCATGTCCCAACTTCCACCTCCCTTGGGATCATCCCAGCTTTGTGCCAGCAACCCTTCCACCTCCCTTGGGAACATCCCAACTCCATGCTGGCACCTCATCATCCCCGTGCTGCCGGCTTTGTGCCCAAAAGGGTCCGCGCATCCCCCACCTCGTCCAATCCCTCCCGCCCTGGGAGGCAGACAGCTTCCTCCTCTACACGGTCCTTGCTGCAGGTAGTTAAACAGCACCAGAGCCAGGACAAACTTCCCACCGGGCTCCGCGCACGCCTTAAATCAAACGGGAGGAAGAGGGAGAGCAACAGGGGCCAGAGCCAGCGGGTGCATTTCCTCGGGGGAAGCGGCCAGCAGCTCCCTTCCGCCACCTGGCTGGGTATTGTCCTGCCTGGGGCCAGGAAAAGCAGCCTCTGCTGGGAGGTCTCCCGCACCGCTCTCCCACTTGCGGCAAAGGTGCAAGCACTGCCCCGCTGTCCCCTCCACTGACCCAGGGACGCATGGCTTGTCCCCCCCTGCCACCTCGTTCTGCCCCTGCAGCCGATCAATGTCAACAGCTGCTGTCAACCGTGTGGCTGAGCTGCCTGTCCTGGGGGACATCCTCCCACAGCTCCCTCATGGCTCTCGGCCTCCATTACTTGCAGTCCGACGGGATGGGCTGGATCCAGGGCAGCAGCTTCTGCCTTCACCCAGCTCTGAAACAGAGGACTAGGCCAGGCGATGGGACCTGCAGGCTCCCAGCCATGTGCCAATTGCCCCGGGGTCCCTGCCACGTGCAAACATTGATGGGGTCCCTGCCATGTGTAAACCCCACCTGGGGCTCCTCGCGATGTGCAAACTGCCCCTGAGCCGCCAGTGGGCTGGGCTGGGCAGTGAGGCGAGTGGCAGGGTGGGATTGAGCTGGTGGGGACGGGC